TTTAGCTGACTTTTCCATTGAATTTCACATAGCCTTGCTTTCCCAAAAGTTGTTCTCACCCAGGATGAGAGGTTGTTGATAAGACCAATGTGAGGTCGAAACTGCTGTCCACCCTGGAGGAGAACAACTTTTGGGAAAGCAAGGCTATGTGAAATTCAATGGACAAGTCAGCTCAACTCATATCATTGTGGGAAAATTCTACTACCAGTACCTTCATCAGTAGACGAAATAGGGTGAATACATCTCATTACACTGATTTACTGGTAGTCTCGAAACCCTACTTACTTACGTATATAATTAGAGTCGAAACTTTGGGGTCGAAGCTGCAGTTTAGCCTGGATGAGAACAACTTTTGGGAAAATAAGGCTCTGTGAAACTCAGTGGAAATGTCAGATCTACTCATGTCATTGTGGGCAAATTCTATCACCATTCATTTATCCCCTTAAACGAAATAGGGTGAATACAACTCATATAAGCATCTTCATTGGCTGAATTGCCTCTGAGGCCCAGATGCCGAATTATGGAGATGTCTCATATCAAATAAGTCTGCTTTTTTGCCGACTTGTCAGTAAATGGGGTTGTTAGGTTGCGATAAGCGTCGTGTATTTAGAATGTCAGCTTAGTTGCATAGTTTCCGAAGACCTATCGGCGAGCGTGCAAGGGCCGCCGCTCGTACAACCTAATGCATTAACAGTTTGAAGTAGTAAAAGTATGATTCGATTCTTAAACTTATTTGGTCTATATGCTAGTTAATTCTTTCTTTACACGAAATAAAACGAATGCAAATAATTTAACCTTGATCGTTTCCCGGACACCCAGTTGCCTAGGCCCTTATCCACTTCTTATAAACCTTTATTTGTTTAAAAATAATGAATGCCGATGACATAACAGTAACTTCGTATCATACAGCTTTGGTATATCCGGATTTATATAAAATATAAAATAATTTTGTGACTCAAATTGGCCATTTTCATAATGTGTCATCCGTTCGGGCTGTAGTTAGCTCTGGTATCATTTATTCATTCTAAATAATTATTGTCCTACCTCTCTAGCAATTTAAGCAGACCTATTTACGCTGTATGTCTGCAATTTCAGAGGCAAATAATGCATTTAAGTAGTATACAAGTAGAATCTCAAGGTATAATCTCTATGAACGTGAAGTTATATCTTGTAGCTAGAGAGGTCTCCAATTTGATATGATGAAGTTTCCTCGAGAGCGAATAAGCTGTAGAAATGTGAAACTTTGAGTAGGTATTTAAACTCATCAACATAAGCCCATCAACGTAATTTTGCTTTAACAAGGCTTTCGTAATATTGTAAAGTGAGAAAGTATGTGAATCAAATAACCCATCTAAATCTAATATTAAAAAATCCTTATTAAGTAACACCTAAATAAGTGGGCTAGGTTTAGACCTCTTGTCGATGAGTGAAGTATAACTTATTGGTTGTAAAGAGCTCTACCCAATATTAGGTGCTATAGTCGAAGTCGACCCAATCGGACAACTACCGTATTTTTAAAAAATATGGAAATAATGCTCCTTCTAGCGTTTCCGCTGATTTCTTGCTATGATAGAATGACAAAATAAACTATTTCATGCCTAGTGATTTTATGAGATGAATTCACCCAATTTCCTTTAAGGTGATGAAGGACTGGTAGAGGAAGAAGAAGAATTTTCCCACAATGATATGAGTTGAGCTGACGTTTCTATTCAATTTCACATAGCCTTGCTTTCCCAAAAGTTGTTCTCATCCCTGCTTTTGGGAAAACAAGTCTATGTGAAATTCAATGAAAACGTCAGCTCAACTCATATCATTGTAGGAAAATTCTTCTTCTTCTTCTACCAGTCCTTCATCACCTTAAACGAAATTGGGTGAATACATCTGATATTACTGATTTACTGATAGTCATGAAAACAATACTTAATTCGAAAAGTAGTGATTTTAATTAGGGGATACCTATAGTTTCTCGCATCTTGCCAAATGCAGTATCAAATTTAAGAAGGCCATAACAAAATGCAAAGCTGTATGCGTAAATGAGTTGAAATTTAGCATTTAGCAGAATTTTTGTGGATAAAATCCATACCTTACCTTGTGTCGCTATATAATCCGACTAAAAAGGACTATGGCAAGGCAAAACAGGAAATAATTTAGTTCATAGGAAATTAAATTTTTATCAATTATCACACGCCATTAGAGCTATTTAGCAAATACCGTTCCATGCTTTCGACTGCTTGGGAATATTGCTTCCATTGTAGGAAGTTATAAAATAAATTAATTTGAACTAAGTTTATGTATATTTTAAGCCAATTTTTTCACGAAAATAATCCTGAAAGACGGATTTTCTCATATGACATGATCATTCTAAAATGCAGCACTGCTGCCTCTAGATTGGCTTGTCTTTCCGACCTCACCGCATTGGCGCCTGATGCGAGATTCGAACTATCTGACGTATCGTTTCCAGTGCATACATGCTACCTTCTAGCCGGATTGATTTAACCCGACCATAATGATTTCACCTCGAGCCCCGACTGCTCTGCATCTCATTCTCTTCTTTCACGAAATTAAAATCAGAATCAGAGATTTACTCATGCTTCGACCTGGTGCACACTTTCTTCATGTTCGATTACCTAGTTTCCATCTATTTCTCAGCCAGGGTGAACTGTTTTCAGGGTTTCTAAGCTCGTTTTCCATCTTATTCAATTTGAAGAGTGCAATATTTACCGCTTGTCGTGAACTTTTCTTCACCTCCACTGAGGGTATCTAAGGGAAGCCCATGTTGCTATGAGAGCCAGCGTCATCTGGATTGTCTATTCTGGGCGATAAAAAGTCAGCTGGTAATCCCGCATATTTACGATTCAAGTCACACCTTTTGAGGTTTGGCGAGACCAAAAAAATTCAAAAATTGAGGGCTGGATGCACGAGAAGGACTTTTTGGATGCATGAGGCGGTGGATTCAGGCAACACGTGACTCTTGGTAGATCATGAACACATTCTTGCATTGAGAGGTCTTCAAGCTTTCATAAGTATAACGGAGAATTTTGATATTAATCTAATAACAGATTACTACATCACTATTTTATGATGTTGTTTATTTTACAAATAGACGATGTATTTTTTGGTATATTTTTTTCCTATAGTTTTTATCTACGATGCACAAACTAGACATCCAGTCACTCTAGGTCGCTTAAGGTGATATAATTACTGATAATGGCGTTTTTCCCATAATTATATGCTATTGAACTTCCCTTAGCCTTGTCTAAAATGACAACTAGGTTTTAACGAATATAACTGGATTTCGAGGAATCTCTTAGTGTGAAATTGTGAGCTCAATCCGTTTCGAGGAAAATTATGTGGAGAATAGATTCGGAACTTTATCATAACAGAAAGTGATGGCGCACTCCCATAAGGCATATATCATTTGGCTTTATTGTAACATGTTGATTAACACTGTTCTAGAGACAATCTCATTAAATTCCGAAAAAAACCTGCTAGATCTTGTTTGTCAAAGAGGAGACATCCTTGGAGAAGGCAGTTATCTTTTTATAATCATACTCAAGGCAACGAGTATATAAAACTCACCGGCTTGTCCCGCATACAGCATATGCTGTACATACGTTCTAAACCAATCAATTGTTATCGATTATAAAAGAATTTAGTTGGTTCATGTCATACTTCATTCTGGGGCCATGTATGTGTGTATGCTTGTGTGTGTATATAGGCATTCATATGTAGCTACTGAAAGTCTCGAAAATCTGTTTTTAGCAAAAATAGAGTTTGATGAGTTTGTGAAATTCGCTAAATATACACATTACTTTTCCATCTATACTTTTCAGAATGCTTAAACTCATTCAACGTATTTTCATCAAGATTAGATTTTTAAAACAATCGTCAGCTCAGAAATGACAAAAATTGGTTAGTTATCAAACATTGAAGATATATAACATAAATATGATTAAGAGAAAGTGAAAAGTGCCAAAGTTATCCCAAGTAATCGAAGTGGAATTCAGGATAGAGTTTGGCCACATAATTTTAATATATATATATATATACTTATATTTATATATTTATATCTATATACCAGTTACAAAGATTGAGATGATTTTGGCGCTTTTCACTTTATTTTTTCATTATTGAGGGTATGTTCATTCGTTTTTTATAGGTTTATTTTCATTGCCTTTTTCCTTCTATTAGATATAGTATAAAATATTTTCCCAAAGCAGAAATACTGATTTCACTAAGAGTGTGTCTAGCATCATTCACTTTATTCTGCGACCAAAGATATACCAACCGACAAAATGTAAGATTTATGAGCTTTGCCTATAGTGTAAAGTTCTAAATACCATCAAGACTGTTAACGTTGTACCAAGTCTGCCTTATGGTGGACTGGAAATGTGGCCCCTCTGCTAGAATTACTAAATATCCAACAAAAGAGGCCTGGACCGCTACTAAAAGCCTCTCATTCTTTTCCTGTTCCTCCTCCTCTTTCGCCTCTTCTTCCTCTTCCTCCTCTTCCACCGTTTCCTCCTCTTCCTTCTCATCTTCACCTTCCTTCTCTACTTCCTCTTCTTCTTCCTCCTCCTCCTCTTCCTCCTGTTCTTCCTGTTCTTCCTCTTGTTCCTCATCTTCCTATTCCTCCATTTCATCCCCTTCTTTCTCTTCCTCCTCCTCTTC